TTCTACAGTAAAGAGCATCCTAGGATCCATCTGGAAAACCTTGAAATTCTTGAACTGAAAGAGTGAAGAGAGAGGCATTTCAGCTCCATTTCCCTACAGTATCTCCTGCTCTTTCACTTCTTCCCCCGTGATCTTGTGTAGACCCTGGAGCCAGACTGTGCTAGTTCTCATTTTTTCAGCACTCAGCGGGGAGGGAGGGCAGTGCTTTCCTGTTCAGAGTGGCAACTGCCATCTCAACACCACTATCGCCTTCCATCCCCGAAGCTCGATTCAGTCCAGTTTCTGGTATCAGCTCTGTTCTGCTTTCCAGCAGAGGCAGGAAATAACGAACTCTTCTGAAGAACCAAGAAGGCCTAGCTCACCTAAGTCCCCAGCTGCATTAACCTGTTAACTTTTCTTAGTAATCCTGAACATTCTTGGCTTGGCCATAGAATAGTAATTACTGGCATGCACTGTTGTTGATCTTTGGGCCCAATTTCAATTTCTATGCAGCACCGTAGCAGTTATGCATATCATTACATTATGCATATCATTACATGTTGTCTTGAGTTACTTATTCATATTAAATATTTTTAAAGCTTTTAGTTTAATTCTTCCTTTTAATTGTTTTACGTTTATTTATTTTTGACAGAGACAGAGATAGTTTGAGCAGAGGAAGGGCAGAGAGAGAAAGAGGGAGAGAGAATCCCAAGGAGGCTCTGTGCTGTTACCACAGAGCCCAATGCTGGGCTCAAACTCATGAAACAGTGAGATCATGACCTGAGCTGAAGTCAGGAGCAAGGTGCTTAACCAACCTGGGCACCCCCATTTTTAGTTTAATTCTTATGCCAAATTCTATTTTCATGCATTATTTTCATAGTTGGTTACATATACCTGTATAGCTATTCTCTTATTAAGTAAATGAGAAATATATAAATTTCAAGGAAGTCTATACTAAATTTTGTGAAGCTCTCATGCTTACTCTGTACTTACCTGGGCATTTTTTTCAAGTAAGGCTGTACTGAATCCCTAACCATGGATGGGTGTTTTGCCAAAACTTGGGTGTTTTGGCATAAGAATTAAACTAAAAATTGGGATGTCCATGTTGGTTAAGCACCTAACTCCTGACTTCAGCTCAAGTCATGAGTTTTATCTCTCAGTCTTGGATTTGTTTAGACAGGGTGGTAATTTGTACCAAGAATTTCATTAAGTTTAAAAGGGTTCACCTGATTATGTGGTGGTGATTTTGCAGCTGAGGGGCTTGGGTCTTTTATGCTTTTCCACTGTAGTAAGATTAATCAGTTGGGGGACTAGTCCATATGACAGAAGGCAAACAAATAATTGAGTCCATTGATATAGTCAAGCGTTGGGGTCAGATGATCAGACGAGGGGCCGAAAGAGAGGGTTAGGATTGAGAGAGGAAGCAGATATGGCAACACCAGGAGAGTCAGGACAGGGACGCCAGGACACAAGAATAAGTACATGAAGGAAGAGCATCTTGGACCTTAGAAATGTGTCTCTCTGCTATCCAGGAACTTTGATAGCTCCCTATTCACAAAACCCAAACTCTCCAGTGTCGTGGGGGTATTTTTGAAAAATACTAAACTAGTGTACATTGATTTCAGACAGCCTCTGATTGTTCCTGTTTGCTCCTTTCATTTCCACCCAGTGAAGCATTCATTTGCTTTAGGAGAAAAGGTGAAAATAGCTGGAGTAGGAAGTCGTTACTCAGTATGGAGTTTCCAAAGTTCATCGTAAGAAAGCTTAACACCTTGGAGTTTTTTAGGAGCCTGTTTTTTTTTTTTTTTTTTTTTTTTGTTTCAATATATTTTTAAAAAACTTTTATCCATTTTTGAGAGGCAGAGAGTGAGGGAGACGCAGAATCTGAAGTAGTCTCCAGGCACAGAGCCCGATGCGGGGCTCCAACTCATGAATTGTGAGATCATGACCTGAGCCGCCCAGGCGCCCCTGCAGGAGACTGTTTTGTTGAGAGAAGATCTTGGAATTTTTAGAGTGGAGTTTTAATTTAAGAGCCAAAGCTACCAGAATCAAGTTTTTATTTATATGTTTTAACTGTTTATTATTTTTGAGAGCGAGAGCATGAGCGTGAGGGGGAGGGGCAGAGAGAAAGGAAGACACAGAATCTGAAGCAGGCTCCAGGCTCTGAGCTGTCAGCACAAAGCCTGACATGAGGCTCAAACCCACAAACCATGAGATCATGACCTGAGCTGAAGTCAGACGCTTAACTGACTGAGCCACCCAGGTGCCCCCAAGGTTTTATATATGCCATGGAGGGGCCGGGGAAGGGGAATAACGATAGGATATAAGCTCTTCTTGTGCTGCAAAGGGAAGGGAAATGAGAAGTCCTTCCTGGCAATGGGGCTGTGGTACTAGGGTGTGTGTAACTAGTGCCAGCTGAGATGGAGAGCGGTTATCAGGAGGGAATCTGATTGGAATTCCCTACAACTTGAACAAAAGCCTTGCTCTTTGCTTTCCTGGCTGCCTCTTGGAGAAGCGGTGTGAGGAGCATTGTTTAACATAACCTCTGCTCTGTTCAGCACCTCCTCAGTAATTGTCAAGATCGGACATCTGGTAAGTATTTGTTGAATAAAAAGAATTCTATTTGAAGCAGTAGATTAGAACTAATGGAGTCTTTCTCAGATGGGCCTGAGGTTTCTGGGCCCCAGCACCCCACATGTGGTTTTTAGTCGGTCCAGATGTGTTTTGATGGTCCCAGAGAGCTGAAATCGCAGGGCCTCGGGCTGGGAAAGCGCAGTTATTCAACCCGTCGCCAGAGAGCTATAGCACAGCTTATCCAAGCTGGGACTGAATAACCCTGGCGGCTGGGCTTCAGATGCTCTAGAGGACTGAATCGGGAAAGGCTCTCCCAGGCCTGGAGTGAAGTGACAGGCCACATTTCCCACAGGGTGGGAATACTTCAGCAAGTACAGCACAGTCAGAGACAACACTCAGGGCACCGGCATTAGGTGCTGTGCCTCCACCAGCGATGACAGACAGGTGGCAGGAGAAGGCAACATGGGTGAGAGCCAGAGCTGACACTCACGTTCACATTCCCTCTTTAGAAGTGGGAGAACCTTCGATAAAAGAGCAATACTCTGAAAGATTGAATTAACCAAGTAACCAAAAGAGACTATTAAACTAGAAGAGATAAATATTTTTAACCTAGATCAAGTAAATTTTGCCATTTGGAAATGAGCATTTTAATGCAGAGAAAGTAACGCTTTCTGACAAGTCTGTCACAATTTGTAAATCTTGATCCTGTTACAGGACCCTGAATGCACATGCAACTTCCTGCCTCCTGCCTCCATCCTGCCTTTGCAGGCCTCGCCCCCATCTGGCACCAGACAGCTTGTCTCCTGGTGTTTGCTTTGTGCTGCGCCTCTCTCCAGGAGTTCCTTTGCACCTTTCAAGTCCTCCATATCCTTAATGCCCAATTCATGATTTTGTGTAACAAATATGTAAATCCCTACCTGCTGGCAGATGCTGTGCTCTGTGAGAGTCAGTGCAGGAGAGACTTCACTTTTGGCTCTGAGGGAGAGGGGCTGGAATCACACCTCGCCTCCTATCATCAACAGCCATAAAGCTGGAGAAGCTGTACAAAACTAAGGCCAGGGCCTGGATTCTCAGGCGAAAGGATTCACAGAAAGTGAGCCCCTCATTTACCCTCACAGCATTTTTCAAATTCTTGCACAGGGAAAGTGAGGCCAAGCGGAGAGAGTGCAAGTGTCCCTGGGAAGAAGAAATGGAGAAGCAGAGTTCAGGGCTACTAATGTCTGGGGTTCGAACAGCAAAGTATCTGAGAGGGGCTGTTTGCAGAGAAGGATCCCCCCAGAAGTGTGCAAAGCCCTTTCCTTTGGGTTGCTGGCGAGCTCCAGAGCCAGCGGGTGGAGGGCGGCTTGGGGGCTTGGCTGGGAGGAGCTATGCGGAGACTGGCGGCTGCGTGGGGGGTTGGAGAAGTGATGTGCTGCTGGGGGTCGGGGCGGCTGGGCCCAGCCGAGGTGAAGAGACTTGTGAAACTGGCCGTGCAGTTGTGACCCCAGGAACGTCACAGCCAAAGAACAATAAATCTTGTGGGAGGAGTAAGAACAAAACTGAAATATACTTGGTGCTTTTCCTGCAGGGAGCATTGCGGTATCAGGGAAGGGTTTTCCAGAGAGAATCCTTAGGACAGCAAGCAGATGTGAAAGCGTGCACTGAGGAAGGACAGGGCGGGCGGCAGACCGATGCTGAGCTGAGGAAAGGGGTTCACAGCAGTTTTCCAGTCCTAGGAGTTTCAGTATGTCATCAGCTCTCTCGGCCTCCCACACCATGGGAGTTTCTTCATGCCCGGGAACTCACGGAGTCCACGCTTCTGGATCCAAAATTCTCTTCCCCTCTCGTCTGAGTCAGTATGACTTTGGCCACATTATCACATGTCGCTAGCAAGTGCTACCATTTTTAGCTTAGACTAGATGACATTTCCTAATGTGTAAGTGTCCTGTAGTCCCCAAGTTTTCCAATTCCTTGTTAAATTTTATATACGAATTTTCTTAAATTGAGGAATGCCTTTATTATGACAGCATTTGTTTCATGAATAAGCTATTGTATCAGCTGAAGATGAGCTCACTTACTGCTCAGGTTGAAAGCTTGCCCCCCCCCCCCCCTTGGGTTTTGTGTAGAAGTTTAGACCAGGAGTTTCTTCCTATGGAGGTTTTTGGCTGAATTCTAGGCAGAGTTATGGTCTTTCCCCCTGATGCTGGCCAGCTGAATGAAGGTGGTGTCTGATTAAGTGTTTTGTCACTGTGCTACTCAGGGTCACTTAGTCCTGAGGAGATGAACTGAGGGATGTTTTGAGTGGACAAAGGACAGGGAAGTTTCATTACCCACATGAAATTGCCAGTGTTGGGAAATAAAGCAAAACTCTTCCGTACTTGGATACGTACTGACATTTGAAAGTTCTGTTACTGCTTTAAAATTGGGAGGGGGATGTATGCTTATTAACCCATCTGGCTGTTTTTTAGTAGAGAGATGGTCAGAAGGAACGACACAAGAGAAGAAACCACAATGTGTAAAAGAACCGGTAGAAACACCTATAATTCCCCAAGAACCTACACGGATGGAAAAATCTACGGACACGGAGGAGGACAATATAGCTGGACCACTGTTTATCAACAAAACCACTCAGTTCCCATCAGTTCACGCTGAGCTGCTCCCAGAGCCCGAGGAGACGACCGGGGCTGCTCAAGGCTCCAGTTCGAAGCCCCCTACCCCTAAGGCCCTGAGCCCACCCTCGTCACCGGCTCCGGCAGCTGCCTCCGTGGAGTTTGCATATGTCCCAGCTGACCCAGCTCAGTTTGCCGCTCAGATGTTAGGTAACGTTGCGTCTGTTCATTCTGATCAATCTGACGTGTTAATGGTGGATGTGGCGACCAGTATGCCTGTGTTTTCCGAGGAGGCGCAGAGCTCAGAGGCTGTCCACGGTGCCGCGGCGGCCACTCCCGCTGGGTATTCTGCAGAGGTGGGGGCCCTGCAGGTTCTAAGCCAAACATCTGTCCATGTAGATTTGGGTTCTAAGCCTAAAGACGATGCAGCTGAGCCATCAACGGCTTCCTCCTTCCCCTTGCAGGATGAACAAGACCCTCCTGTTTATGATCAAGCTCCTAAGGTCCCTTTACAGGCTGAGATTGAGGTCACCTCATTCGTTCATATATCCTCTATCTATAACGATGAGCCTGTGACCGAAGGAGTCACTTATGTCGAGCAAATACCAGAACACATAGTTATCCCTTTCACTGATCGTGTTGCTGTCGTTAATGAGCAGTCACCACCTGTGAGTCCCATTCCTGTAGCGCTCGAGAACGGCTCCAGCAAAGCCGTAGGTGCCATAGAACACGCACAGCCAGAGGAGGATGCAGAATACTCCTCGGTGCAAACGGAGGCAGAAGCAGTTCTGCACTCCGACGCCTCTCTTCAAGGTCAGCCTGCGCCCCTCCAGGATGCAGAGGGCTCTACCAAAGCAGTAGGCTCTGAAAAGTCTCTGCCCCTTGAGATGGAGCTCACTGCCCTGGTCGCTGGCACTCCTGGGCAGGAGGAACCCGGGGAGAACTCGGCCGCCCAGGAGACGGAGGTCAAACGTGCGCTCTCTGGGGACTCTGCCAAAGCAGTGACTTTGGGTGCATCTGTAAGGTCATCTGGTGGTCCCCCCCCTCCTGTTCCAGAAGGTCTTACTGAGCCAGAAATCGAACCAGAACGGGAAGCAGCACCCGAACAAGGTTTGCTCGAGCCAGGTAAGAAAATCAGATATGGCAAAATTAACAATTACATTTCAGTAACATCTGTATTTCAGGTAACCACTAGGTAGGCTCCCTATAGATCGGTCAGAAGACTCTTATTAAATAGTTTTTAAAATGGCAAACCTATGTAAAGGCTTTGTCGAATTTGAGATTTTACTCTTACGAGATGAGTGATTTTAAAGTGACATCACCAAAGCTTGGCCTCAACGTTTGCTCACCCAGCACTTTTGGATGCAGCGCATACAGTGAAAAACCTTAAGGGCCAGCTGTCAGGCATGAAGTATGTGGTAACTGCTGTGGTGTCAGAAATTCCTCCCTCGTGAATGTAAAACCCAACTCCACAACGCCTTCCGGAGGCTGCAGCCCGTGGCCCGTAAGAGAAATGGTGGTGTGTTGCCCCTGCTTTCGCCCAGCAGCAGGAGAGCTCTGCAAACGGGTGTGGGGAGCTGGCCAGGCCCCGGCTCCCTGGCTGGGGGCTTCTGCAGCCGAGGGGGCGGCTTTGGAGCTGGACAGAGAGGACGGGTCAGGCCGAAGTTCTGTCACACGGGAGAGCACAGAAGACCACTGGGCACTGGAGCCACTGTGATAACTGGTGTCCTTCCGTCCGCTCCCTGGACAGGCGCGGGCACCCCGCCGCTTCCGTGGCCGCTGGCCCTCCCCAGGGCTTTCCCATGACACAGCCACAGTTTGACCCCTGTCTCAGTCCAATTAAGGCATTTGGTCTGCCACCCCTGCCCTCTCCCTCTAGGGACGGATGGGCCATGCAGATGCCAACCTCCCCCATTCCCTTTGCAGAAACACTCTCAACTTTACCATTCTGGCTCTGGGAAGAGTCAAAGTGTTACCACAGCAGGTGTTTGGGGATCAAATTCTGTCTGGCAGTGTGGTGGGGTTCTGCACGGCTGAAAAGCGGAGGGCAGCGCTGGGAGCCAGCTCGCGGGACGGGCACTGCGCTCGTGGCTTAAGCAGTACTGGCATCCCGACTGCCTGTTCCCCAGGGCCTCGCCCTCTCTAAAGCACTATGAGGATATTTCAAATGGAAGATGGGGCTTGTCTTTGATTTTAATTGGCTTGCAGAAGGAGGAGTTGACAGGATCTGAAGCCACTGAAAAGGTAGCAGCGTAATCATGTGCATAGTGTTTTCTTTTCTGGGGAAGAAGAAAAGCTGCACCCGGGACATGGGGCCCAGTGCTTACAAGGTGAAATTAGAGCACACTCCGGGCAAGGTGCCCTACCTCCACCCCATCTTCTGTGACTCAGTTCTCCACGACAGTATGGTCATTAGGCAAGCCAAACCTGACATCCTAGATTCCTGGGGGTTAGGTAGATGGATGACACTCCCCAGACCTCTTTTTCTTAAAGAACCTCTCTGGGACCAACAGGCCTCGCACTGCCACCTGGGACCTAGGAGTTCAAGCCTTGCCTACAAGGGGTGCTCTCTGGGGTTCTGAGTCGTAGATTATGAGAATGGGCGATGACGGTGCCTATGAAGGGCCAGAGATCAGTGACAACGTAACCAAAAGATGATGCCCCGTGCGGCCTTCCTTAGTGAAGAAAAAGTCACTCTGCAGATGCATTAACACTTTTTCAGTGGCTTCACATGCCCTTCAATTGTTTTCGTAAAGCCACGAGTTTGGTAAAGTCCTGACGACACGGTGACAGCCACGTCTAACGCAGGCACCTGGCAGCGGCTCTTAGGATGGGATTGCTGCTTCAGCTGCGACACTGGTGCCTCTGCTGCCCACTGTCCCAACACTGTTCTCACTTTCCACCTGGACAGAACACTCTTCTGCACTACCGGACATGATTTACACCTCTCTCTAGCATGCTTTATGGCACATATTTACCACTCCAGCTGTTGTTTATATGCAAGGAAAACTTATAAAGACATTTCTGTGCATAGCGCCTGATACAGAGACCAAACCTTTAACACCTGCAAATATTTTTTTTTTATAGCCATAGCAGCAAGCGAAGCAGGACAACCACCACCATATTCTAACATGTGGACCCTTTATTGTCTAACTGATATGAATCAACAAAGTCGCCCATCACCGCCACCTGCACCTGGGCCTTTCCCCCAAGCAACCCTCTATTTATCTAATCCTAAGGATCCACAGTTTCTGCAGCAGCCACCGAAAGTTACTTCTCCAACTTACGTGATGCTGGACGACAGCAAGAAGACGAGTGCCCCACCTTTTATTTTAGTAGGCTCGAATGTTCAGGAAGCTCAGGATTGGAAACCTCTTCCTGGACATGCTGTTGTTTCTCAGTCAGATGCCTTGAAGAGATACGCTGCGGTCCAAGTACCCATTGCTGTTCCTGCAGATCAGAAATTCCAGAAACCCACCCCAAACCCCCAGAATGGTAGTCCTCCAAGTGGACAAGATGTCCCCAGACCACAAAGCCCAGTTTTTCTTTCGGTCGCGTTCCCAGTAGAAGATGTAGCCAGAAAAGGTTCAGGATCTGGTGACAAACGTACTCCCTGTGGAAGTTACGGTATTGCTGGAGAAATAACCGTGACTACCGCCCATGTCCGCAGAGCAGAAACTGGAAACTGGTAGGTACATTTTCCTGCGGTTGCACAGGGACCCTCGCTTGCCCGTAGTGTATAAACACCTGGAGGTTGAGGTGTTTATAAAAATTGAATTGAGATATGCAAGAAGTTGGGCTATACTCAAATTTGATGTGGTTCTTCTCTCCAAGTTCATTACCCCTGATTACTACTACAAGCACAGTGGGGCTCTGGAAGGACTCACTGAGGACCTGGACTTGGTTTCTAATACATGAACTTGATCCACTCATTCACCTGTGAATACATCTAGTCCCTGGAGGATAGTAGAAAAGGGGTAGATTTATAAGAAAAAAAAGATTCCATAGAATTATAGAATCTAATTGGCAATGTTAAGGGGCGGGTCGGAGCAGACAAGATGCAAGCACTGGGGCAACTGGAGAACGAGGGGAGAGACCATGTGTGGAGCAGCCAGTCTCTGCGGGGTGTTTGTTCCCTCTCGGAGGGCAGACTTACAGGTTTGCATAGTAGCAGCTGGGAACACCTCCAAGAGCCCAAACTGGCATGAACTGTGGATAAGACAGTTGAATCACTCGCAGAGCATCTTTAAATTCTTCACCCACCTACAACTTAATGGCACGTCCTGTGCTCCTCGCTGACATATGCCGGCAGGGCAAGCCCCCAGCGTTAGTTACGCCATGTGGAGGAGGGAGAACAAAACGAGATGCCGGGCAGGTGTTCAGGCCCAGATGCAAACTGACCACGGAGCTGGCCTTGCAGAGAGCCCGCGGCCCAGGCCCAGGCCTAGGGCACGGAAAACCTGGAGTGTGAGACCTCCTTAGGAGAGAGAGAGTGGGGTAGGAAGCCCGAAGGCAGAGCTGGAGGGTGGGAGGTCACGAGGAAGCAGAGACAAGTTCAGGAGATAAACTCACACAACCCTGAGTTCTGCTACTCAGAACAATTTGCGGGAAATTCCAACTGAACATCTGATGGGAAAAAGCTAGCTTTCCTTCCCAGGCAGGTTCAAGTACTACAGTGACTGACTGTATTTAAGGGAGACGACTCAGTTATCAAATCTTGGGCCTATGTGCCCTTCTTATTCATCACCCCACGCTGTAGACCTCTAGTGGAACCGTCAAAATGGCTGTTTTTAGCCGGAAATGTTGGGATATGTCACTGCAAGTGCACAGGTGACTGAGTAGATAAGAATTGAGTAGATAAGAATTTAGTGATAGGAGCACAGACCTCGCATTTCTGATCTGCCATTCTTTTTACATGTTCAGGTTCATAATTAAACAATTCACTGTTTATATTCCTAACAGATGCTGGAAATGATGCCATTTGAGTCAACGTTCAAGGTGGAGTCTGCCACCCAGCGTAATTTGTCAATAAACTTCATGCAAGCATAAAGCCTGTGTTCTCATTTTGTAATTTAGCACAACTGACTACAAAAGGCCATAAATCTTTTCAGACCTGTATAGCCTTTTCTGACTCTCTCTACACCGGAGAAGAAAAAATTCCCACTCTAGTAGCAGATCTACTCACATATTTCCTAGGTGGGTGTTTCCATTTGGCAACTCCACGGTTGACATTCACAGCAAGGGAGTACAGGAGGCAGCTCACACTAATACTGCATTTACAGAGAACCATCCCCCGTGCTGACTCCTGAGCTGGTTAGCACTACGGGCCCTATTAATTGTGGAAATTGTGGACATTGGTATGTTTGAAAGTTTAACAAACCACGCCTTTGGGCAACATTCTAAAGCCTTTATTTAGCATCAGGTAGATTATTTCATTATAACACTTGTTAACTTCAAGACAGCAATTAAAATAATTTACTGGCAGCTACCTAAAGCCCCTTGGAGCAAGCTCTCAGTCTGGGGTCGGGTGGATAAATACCGTTAGATGAATGCACCCCAATGAAAGGGGCAAAGCTACTGTACAGTCGGTCTCCATACAGATTTTACGTACATGGGGGCCTTGCAAACCTGAAATGCACAAGACCTCCTTTTGTAGAGTTTGGTACTTACATGAGTGCAACTTCATGTTTCTGGTGGCCTTTGCCACACAAGGTCAAGCATTTAAAAAGGCTTGTCATTATGTAATGATGGTGATTAGAATCTATTTCTAGGGCATTTTTGTGAACTGCTAGATTTTATGCAAATTTTCAATTCAAACACCTTTTAATTCTAAAGACCGTGATTACAGAAAATTGTAAATTTAGAGCACTAAAGTGTCTCTACCAGCTTAATTCTTTAGAATTTGCAAATCAGGAACACGTATCCTGAATATTCAGGTGTTTTTTTCTTTTTGGAAGTGGAAAGGGGTAAAATTGAGAGGATTAGTTGGAAGAAAAGCCATCTTTTTAACGTAGTCTTTACACAATGACATAACCTTCTCTACATTTGAGCACATTAACATTGTGTAGAAGAGTTCTAAACATTTCAGAGTTACAGCTAAAACATTCAAGCATGACAGCATAAAAATATGCAAAATAACTTGATTTGGGATTACTATATAATTCCATAAAGCTAAAGTTGGGTATAAACCTTCAGTAAATATGGCAACAGCAACCATAAAAAAAGTATGTTCTCCACTCAGTTTCTCTTCCCTCTATGAAACAGTTGTTCCAAAGAAGTATGTCTGGATAGCAAAATTACCCATTTTTCCTGACCCTCCTCACCGGTAGCACTTCATGCCCTACTTTCCTCGAGTGAAATGCAAGTTATCTCACGAGCGGGTTTTTTCTTTTTTTAAAAGATGAGTAGAAACCAAGGAAAATATTTAAAAACATAGGTTTAAGACTTATTTGTAGATGAGCCAAACACCTTGACTTGTCTGCATTTTAATAAATGTCAGGCAGATTGAAGTAGTTTCTGTCCCAGTAGCTGCCCGAGTAAAGCCAGTCCTGTGCTCCGTTGTAGGGATTAGGACCTTGATGGAACCACCTGTTTAAAAAGAAAGGACAAGATTGATGGGGAAGCTGTTGGAAATCCAGGGTACCTGCCACTTCGCTCAGAGTCCGGGATTTCCAGAGATTTTTAGAGACCACCTATATACTATAAAGAGTAGCATTCCAGAAGCTAGGATGATCCCACACAAAAGGTTCATGGGGTTTTCCCCAGCATTCAGCAATAGTATTCAACCGAAGAGGACCTTCTGTCTAGTGGGAGTATAAGAACAAAACTCTCTGTGTAACTGTTCATTCTCTAGCTGCATTCCTTATCTTCCACCAGAAGGCTTTTTTTTTTTTTTTAAGGTTTAAAGAATATGGACAAGGAAACAAACTTTTAGGAACTTTGACAACACACCAGAGTAACAGGTAAGCTACTGGATTCCGAGTTAATGCCCCCTAAACTCAAAGCAGAAGGGGAATGAATGTCAGAGAAGTTAAATAATTTGCCCAAGCTAGTCACTGGTATCGAACTTAAGTCTGATTTTAAAGACCGTGATTTTTCCAACCTACTCTGCCGCACGCAATCCAGAGACTAGTCCTCACCTTCCTAGGTCTCCCATTTTCTCCAGGCTCATGCAGATTCTTGGGTGGCATCTAGGAGTTAACAACCTGATCTGTCTTTTCTAATTCTGCACAGAATCATTCTGTCCTAATCATTTTCCTCCCCTTTAAAAAAAAAAAATCACCTATTCAGTAGCAGCATTCTTCAGCTAATGGAAAAGCAAAATTACTTGCTCAAAAGGTTCACAATTAAATTTGCATAACATTTTCTAAATATGAGTTTTCAGAGTAACATTTGTGAAAAACAGTTTCAATTGTCTTTGTGCCATTCTTCCCAAATTGCTTCTAAATTTTTTTTTAATGAAGTGAGGTTACATGTGTTTGGTAAGTCTTAATGTTCTATTGCCCCTACTGCAGCCCAAAGCACGCTGAGAGAAAGACTGCTTCAGATGAGGTGGGTTCCTTGGAGGATCACATGGGAAATGCCGTTAGACCACACTTTCTAGAATGTTAATATCTGAACTCTGTTCATCTTTTGGGACTTTTTCCTACTTGGAAAATTTAAGTCAATTTTAAACGATCAAGATGGGTCACATTTATTCAAGCAGACTGAAAATTTTGCTGGTCTCTAAAGTCCAAGCAGTAAAAGCACTTTTGTAGTTAGGCTTAGCAAAGTCAGGCACTTCAGACGCCTCAGGCCACGTGCCACGGGGGAAGCCAGTTCGGAGCCCATGTCTGCAAGTGCCCTGCGGAGCCCGCCTGCTCTAGGACAGAGTCCACACGCCACCCCGGAGCTGAGCACCTCAGAGTGGATGGTCTGATGCGCAGGATTAGTTTCCCTCATCTGCCAGCTCTCACTGTGAGCACTCACATCTGGAAACCTCTGCTATCACCATGCCCCGCCCACAGAAACCACACAGTCCGGTTAATTTGTCCTAAACTCAAATGTTTTAGACCAGCACAGGTCACAGCAAAGAGGAGGGTAAGATTTCTTTGCTACCACCTTTCAATTCAATTATTTTTGAGTCTACATAGTGTTTGGTCTGTGTCAGGAAGGCAGCATTCTATAAAATGTGAATCCTACATGACGCTCAGATGCTCAGGAGACACCGTCACCGATAATTTTTGGCCTCATCACATCACCCGCCTCCCTCCTTTAAAAAATCCTCTATTTCTCACTGGTCCCTCCGCTCCCTCCCTGTACCACACTGATTAGTGAGGATTCCTCTAGGAAAATAGGTCAGGATTACAAGCAGGCATTTTCATAAGCAGGAGCCATAGTTTATAGTCAAACATTTGGGAGCCCGTACTCTCTTCGAGTGAAGCCAGTGTTAGCAGGAATGCCAGCTTTTAGCACGGAGGGATTTGAGATTTTAGTAAGTTTCTGGGTTTGATAATTCTGAAGGCTAGTTAGCTCCAACCCAGCAGAGAACGTTCCTTTATAAGCTGCCCTGCCCCCACCCCGCCTCTACTCAAACTGAACCACGACTTTCAAAAACACATCATCGATCCTGAGAAGAATCAAGTCTGTGAGACTGCACTCTTCCCACCGCCACTCAAAAAGAGCTCAAAGCACATATTCTCTGGACAAAGAAATGGTCAGTAGAATCATTTTAAAAAGGTGTATTCATATAAGCACTGCGATGCTGAGAGAGCGTGGCACAAAGGCCTCAAACTGTAGCCCACAAACGCGGCTCCTACTTTTACTTTCAGGCGAATAAAGAACGGTCTTGAAGCTCAATTGCTTTCTGAATGCTATGGCTGCGACAGTAAAACTTCTTAGTGGACTTTTTGCTTATACTGTATTCCTGAAAACATGGTCAGAAAAATAAAGGACTTAATAATTACAGTACAAAAGTGGGGTTTTCTGCAAAAGAGGCTAGAAATAATAATAAGAACCAAGTCTTTTCAAAAGGGATCACAGGAGAGCAACAATACAGCTTTTCATGAATACAGGATTCATGAAGGCGGGGGTTCTGATCCCAGGCCTGCGGCTCATGAGCCGTGTGCTGTGAGCAAGTCCCCTAAATGAAAGGTACCAGGATCTGTTTTCTTCTGAACGACGACGGGATTTCTGGGCTACTTTCCAAACTGTATTCCACAGAGTTCTAGGGAGCACAGGGTGGGAGACAGCAAGGGGTGGCCCAGGTCCTGCCCCCGCTCCTCACCCGACCACCGCAATGTTTCCACACCTTCTGTATTTGCAGACTCTTGATGCATTCATTGGCAAAAAAGCTTTTTATGCAGACCAAGTCCAAAAACACTAGACTGGATGAAATCTAAGGTCATGTCTAGTTCTAAGAATTAGATGCAAAAGGGCTATCAATAATGTCTGCTGATACACTTGCAAAAGTATGCCCATATTGGCTCTACAACTTAGTTAATAACTTTGAATTATGGGACAATGGTTTCTATCATGTGATGTAAATGTAGGAAATGTTTTTATTCTATTCCTGTTTCCAAGTGATTCTATTAATACAGGGACTAAGAGACTCCTTAAAAACTTCCAAAACTTAGAAATTTTATGGCCACTTTCTATTTTTGAATGGAATCCCAGGTTACTTTTTACATATCATATTTCCATTACCTGTCTCATCCCTTGTGTTTGGAAGAGTAAAGACACGGTCTATATGTGATAAACACGTAAGCAAACGGCCCTGTATGTTTACTCATGTGTACTGTCAGAGAATGGCTCCAAACCTATTTTCTTGCCAAAATCTGTTAATATCAGATTCTACCTTCCCTCTTATAATAATGAAAAGGGCAGGACTTGGCCAGACAAGGAAGGTAGACGACTCACCTGCAGTAACTTATGGCACTGTTCTAAGCCTCATTTCCAAACAGTCCCTTTCCTTTTGTCACCCATGCAAGTCTTTCAGCTTTTCTCTCCCCCTCGGAACACTGGCAGGGCTGGGTCAGGCCTCGCTGGGCTGCCTCGCATCGGAGCGCCCTG